TAATAATAATAATAATAATAATAATAATAATAATAATAATAATAATAATAATAATAATAATAATAATAATAATAATAATAATAATAATAATAATAGTAATAATAATTTTTAGCTATATCTTAGCTAGTAGAGAGAGTACTATAAGTAATTCTACTATACTTAAGTCTAGTATATAACTATACTTATTATATTCTACTTATAACTACTATAGTAAGTACTATTATATTATTATAGATCTCTATTATACTATTCTATTACTCTATTATAATATAGACTAGTTAAATATATAACTATTAGATCTATAGAGTCTACTTATAATTATTTATATCTAGTATCTATTTATTACTAGAACTATACTATATAGTAACTTATAGACTAGATACTATTATATAAGTACTTAAAGCTATTAGCTATCTATTTCTCTCTATTTTTTCTATAGTAAAGTCTATCTACTATAGCTATCTATAGCTATTATTAGAAATTAGCTAGAGACTAGACTAAATCTATATATATCTAAGCTAAAAAGTATAAGATAGTATAATAGATAGTAAGAAGTTATATAGTAAATAGATTAGTATATCTTTATATATTATAAGAATTATAGATATAGAATAGTAGTCTAATAGATTATAGAAGGATTTAGAAATATATTTAAAAGGGTAGTCTACTCTTATAATAAGGTTAATTTCTAAAGAGTAGAAATTAAGTATATATAGTCTACTTATATAGTAGTCTCGCTTAATCTAGCTAACTTAATCTAGGTCTATGTTAGGACTTAGTCTTAGGTAGGACTCGACCTATATATACCTTAGCTAACAGGGTTAGGAGGTAACATGAAGGGCGGTAAATAGTTACGTACTAGATAGATCGGCGTCCCTTTATATATATACTCTTAGATTTCTACCGAAAGGGTTTAGTAGTAATTCGTTCTATAATAGAATATACCCTATTATTCTATCTAGCTATACTACTATCTAATAACCCTATTCTTATATTTGAATTACTCCCTATATAGTACTATAGCTAAGATAGTCTAACTAGAACTAAGAAGGTCGATATAATCTACTATAGGGACAAGTAACACTATATTAAATAATAGGGATCCTCTATAATCGGTATTAAATCTAGCCGTTCTTAATAGAGAAGTAGAGATATCCGACCGAATCACGGAACTTTCTAATAAGGAAATAGTAGATACACTAAGCGACTTCCTATAATAGGAAGCTAGATAACGAGTTATAGTAGAGCTACACAAGGAATCGTAACCATTAATCGCTAAACTATAGGAGTATATTACTAATTAAGCCCGAGAGATATAGATCCTTAAAGAATAGACCGAACGTGCGAAACTCCTCATAAAATAACAAGAACTTAATAAGTCTCTTAAAAGACTACGTAAAGCGATAATAGCTAAATAATAGCCTATACTAATCTAGGCGGAATTAATTTATCCCCTACTAGAATTGCGATAATCTCCTATAGTTCCGGCCACTTTACTACTAACTTACCCTATTCTATCTCTAGGTGTGCCGAAACCTAAAGATCCGACTATATTTATAGGGAAGAACTAAAAGAAGTAAAAAGATTAGAAGAGAGACTACGAGAAGTACTTTCTTAATAACCCTATGCTCTTTTCTACTAAAGTATAATACATTTTATTCGGAGAACGTTACTTAGGTTTATAATCCCGCGATTAATAGGATAGATAGAAGGAAGTTAAGCTACTATCGGCGATAACCTAGGAATATTTAGCTATATTTATACTAAATACCCCCGGAACTAACGGAGAACGCGAAAGAAAGGTACTATCTAAGTTAAGAAGCGTAGCATAACGACCGAACTAGACACCTACTTAACTACTATAATATCTATAAAACCTCTAGGATAATATCCCTATACTATAGAAAAATATTCGTATATTCTAGTTTTACGAAGTACTACTCCCGTTAATCCGCGAAAGATTAGAAATAGTATTATTAAGTTTTAACTATCTATATAAATTAGAGGAGAAAGCTAACGAATACTACCGTATCCTTAAGAAACGCGGCTCTCTAGGTAAAACCGACGAACCCTATACGGGTTAGAAATAAGGTCGATTAAATACGTTTAATTAAGAGTAACCTTACCATAATTAACGCTAGAAGAGTATAAATTAGGGTAGAAACGCGTTAAGAGGATACTAAAATAATTAAGGCGGTAGTTCCTAACATAGAAAAGGATAAGGTATAGGCTTAAATATAACGCCTATCGTAAAATAGTAGGATTATAGCGCACTTTATTACTATAAGTATAGAGAAAAGGGATATATTTCGCCTAACTATAAGAATCCGAAAAAAGAATAGACTAGTACGCGAGACCTAACCGCGTTCTTAGCTAAATTATATATACTTAGGAGGAGCCATAGCGCCTTCTGGCGAGTAAAGACCTAATATTACTAAAAGTATTATTACCTATAGTAAATAGTAATAAAACTATATAGGCCCTCGTGGATACTAGTATAGAAGATAACTATATTTCGTTGATTCTCGCTAAGGAGTATAGATTATCGTATAATCTTAGTAAAGTTAGCCGAACTATCGTAGTTAATAGATATAAAGTTAGAACTTTAGGTAAAACTATAATAAATTACGAAGTTCATGACTTAAAGATAATAAAATAGTAGATATCTAATAAATTTATCGTGGCTAATATTAGCTAATAGAATATGATTCTAGGGATGCCTTAGCTTAAACGTCTAAATCCAATCCTTGATTTTTAGAAGGAGATATTAATGTTCCGTCGACATCGCGGTAAATTATACTAGTAAGTTATAACTATTAGTAAGGAGGCATGGAACCTTACCATGCGGATCTAATTATCGCTAATCTATCTTATATCTCTATTAATCGTCGACGAAGACGAAGAGGATAGTAATAATCGGGGTAAAGACACGCTATCTAACATATATTTATAGTATACGGATGTGTTTTCGGTAGGAGACGCGTTACTTCTCCCCGACTATAGACTATATAAGCTAAAGATCGAGCTTAAAGAGGGAGTAGACGTCCCTTATAGTCTACTTTACCTACTTTCGAGACTAGAACTCGAAGTTCTTCGTAAATATATCGAAGAATATCTTAGAAGAGGCTAGATACGTTATAGTATGTTATTAGCCGGCGTATCTATTCTCTTTATAAAGAAGAAAGACGGAAGTTTACGTCTATACGTCGACTATCAAGTACTAAATACGGTGACTAAGAAGAATCGTCACCCATTGCCGTTAGTTAGTGAATCTTTAGACTAATTAACGAAGGTAAAGTACTTTACGAAGCTAGATTTATAAGATATATATTACTAGCTTCGAATCCGTCGCGGAGATTAGTAGAAAACCGCATTTCGGACTAGATATGGTTATTTTAAGTATACTATTATACCGTTTAGGCTAATAAATACGCTAGGAGCATTCTAAGGATATATTAATACTATACTTATAGGATTACTTAATATAATCTACGTAGTTTACCTCGATAACATACTAATTTACTCTAATAGTATGTAGGATTACGAAGAACATGTGAAATCGGTACTAAATCGTTTAAGACAGTATAAACTCTATGTAAAGTTATCTAAATATAAGTTTTACTAATAAGAAGTTGGGTTTCTTAGCTTTATTATAATATACGGCGGCCTTAAAATGGAGCTAGAGCGTGTTAAGACCATTATAGAATGGCTAGAATCTACTACTATACGTTAAATTAGGACGTTTATAGGTTTCGTGAACTATTATTATAAATTTATTATAGGTTTCTTATAAATTACGGCGCCGCTTAATAAACTCACCGAAAATGGCGGTAAAATCTCTATAGGTGGGCGAGTATAGCGTAAAGCGGAGTCGGTTAAGATATAGTTAACGCCGGAAGCGCGAGATGCGTTCTAATCGTTAAAGAATTACTTTATAACTATACCGATCCTTAGATATTTCGATTCTAAGAAGCATATTTAGGTCGAAATAGACACATCTAGATTCGTAATTACTAGAATTATTAGTTAACCGTATAAAGATACGAAAGATAAGGTATAATAGCACCCGGTCGCCTTCTTTTCCCGTAAAATAGCGGATATAGAGACGCGTTATAACACGTATAACTAGGAACTACTTATAATTATCGAGAGTTTTAAGTAATGGCGATATTATTTAGAAGGCTCTATATATTAGATTAAATTATTATCGGATTATATAAATCTACGTTACTTTATATCGACTAAGGTCCTTAATCGCCAATAAGTACGTTAGGCTAAGTAGATATTAATATTTAACTTTAAAATCTTATATAAAGCTAGAAGAGAGAATAAAGTAGATCCTCTATTACGGCGTAAAGATTACGAGAAATCGTTATAGAATAACGTAGATAGTCGGTATAATTTAGACTATACTATACTATAGATACTAAAAGACTAGTTATCTAATAGAGTGCCGGAAGCTAGGATACTTTCGGCGACTCTCCGCGGGAATTAGAGCGGGTATTAAGTAATCTAAACTAACGTCTAAGAAATAGAGTAAATCCTTAAAGACTTAATTAAATCTACCTAGAATTCTAATATATTAGTAAAGAAAGTTATAAGCATGAAGGGAATCGCTATAGAACCGCCGTGGTTATTAAGATAGAAACGATAATCAGATATAATCTACTTCTAAGGCCGACTCTATAT